ATCCACACAATCTGCTAACCATGTGCAAAATATGAACTCTCAGCTACAATCCAAGTAGGTTTTATGTCTTGAAGAACTACATTGWTTGACCAGTATTTCTTCTAATGGTTATCTAAATGTTATATATATATATATCATTGTAAGATATCAACCATTAAGCAAAGCTTGTGTCTTGTAAACATCACCGGGGCTCACTGGTTTTATCGGTGCATATTGTTTTTTAATTCAATGGTTTGAGGGGGCTGCAGAGTTGGCTGAAAGATTTGAGGTTAGAAATGTGTTTTCTGGCTGTGAACGCAGCRGGGCGTCTGAGGGAAGGGGGCTGCAGGACTCTGATTGGGGTYGCTGAAGGGAGGGCTTTAGGGGGCTGCGGTGAGAAGATAAGGGGCTGGATGTGCGGTTGAGAGGCTGGTTGGGGGCAGGGACTTGGAGGGGAAGTGGGGGGTATGACTGCTGTTGTAGCCTGCAGCTTGCAGAGCAGTGATAACCAAGCAGACCTCTGTCTTACCTCCCTCTCAGCCCGTCCTCGTCACTTCCCTCTGCAGCTATTCGATGCACTGCTGAACTGAACAGCAGCAGCCGTTTCCACTGAGTGATGTAGTGATGTGTTGTAAGCAGGCTGTTAGTTGGCTCAAGTGATGAGAACTGWTCTGCCACAAAGCTGCAGGAACCAGCTTGTCTGACTCTGTGGTCCTTTGTRAACTTTAAGGGTTCCTTGACTCAAAATATACAAAGTTACAAGAAAAGCTGAAACGGCAGAGGATATCATAAAATCTTTCTGTCATGGGTACTGTAAATATACTGTGGAAATGTAATTTGACCTACGAAAGCTTTGTGTTGATGTTAGGGATAGCTAATACTTTTTACCATACTAAACTGCAAAAACTGTCCATCTTACCAAGTTTTAAAATCTTATATCCAGCCAACAACTCTTTTTGATTTTGTTTTGAGACTGATTTACTAAACAAGAACTGATTGTGTAAGAATAATAATCTTGTTCCCTTTCAGTCAATTCACTCGGTACAACACATCATGTATGGGAAACCACGCCCCTGCATGTCCTGGCTGAAGCCACCTCCAATCACACCTTTAGGCAGGTGAGGTGATGACGGCAGATGTCAGGCTCCGCCTGCACATATATATACTGTCGCATCACAGTCACTCCTCAGTTCTGTTGCTCTTCACCTCGCAAGAACACCCACCTCTCCCAGCCTAGCTAGTTAGCTGCTGCTAATTAGCTTTGTTTGTTCGAAGGTTCTCGGATTTAGTTTAACGGCTTTTGTTGGTGTCAGCTGCAGCTGCCTACTGGTAACTGTGTCTGCCTGCGGAGCACTAACTTTGAGAAACCTTTCTTACCTCGACGAAAGAGAGAATTTTGTGGTTCGGATGAGCACAAAATTACTCAAGAGGCCCGTAAGGTGATACCTTCTTACTACAGCTCCATGTCTATTGAGCTTTCTAGTTTTTATCCCCCTTTTTGCATCTGAGGAACAGAGGAGGTTGCATTCTTTGTGTCCACTACGTGCACTGCGTATTTACATTGACCGCACACAGGAGGTGAGGTCATGTGATCAGCTGTTTGTGTGTRTTGCTAACCCACTCAGGGGCAGGGCTCTGTCCATACAGAGACTCTCCCACTGGATTGTGGAGGCTATCTCTTTAGCTTACAGCAGCAGGGGTCTCCCAGTCCCATCTGGTGTGAGAGCTCACTCCACCAGGGGTGTAGCAGCGTCCTGGGCCCTATTTAAAGGGGTACCTGTGAGTGACATCTGTGCTGCGGCCAGCTGGTCTTCACCGCACACGTTTGTTCAATTTTATCGCTTAGATGTGACAGCCCCTTCGGTGGCTCACTCTGTGCTCTCCGCTGGGTCTGAAGTGCTGCACTAGCATGTTATTATGACCCAAGTTTGGTGCTGCTCTGCAGGGCGCTTATATATGTCCCATACATGATGTTGTACCGAGTGAACTGACTGAAAGGGAACGTAATGTTATGCATATAACTACWGTTCCCTGAAGGAAAGGAACGAGGTACAACACATGGWGGCCCCGCTGCACAGCTGGGCTCGGTGAAGAGCAGTTACCGAACTAAGGAGTGACTGTGATGGCGACAGTATATATATTTGCAGGCGGAGCCTGACATCTGTCGTCATCACGTCACCTGCCTAAAGGCGTGATTAGAGGTGGCTTCAGACACRCAGGGGCGTGGTTTCCCATACAYKATGTGTTGTACCTCGTTCCTTTCCTTCAGGGAACAGTATATGCATAAYATTACGTTTTCAGAATGTGTAAGATTATTTGTCTTGTTAGCCTGAAAATTTGACTCAAATTAAGTGAAAAACTTCTGCCAGTGGAGTAAGAAAATTTTACTTGGTAAGATTCTTTCTTGAAATACTTTATTTGACTCAGTTTTTTTCTTATTTCAAGAATCTTACCAAGTAAAAATTTCTTACTCCATTTTCAGGCTAACAAGACAAATAATCTTACACACTCTGAAAACAAGATTATAATTCTTACACAATCAGTTCTTGTTTAGTAAATCAGTCTCAAACAAGATCAAAAAGACTTTTTGGTTGGATATAAGATTTTAAAACTTGGTAAGATGGACAGTTTTTGCAGTGAACCATCTGCCTTGATTGTCTGTAATTTATGCTTCAGTTTTTACACATTTGCAGCAGCAGAGGTTCATGACAACKGAACAAGAAGCAATTAAACATTAAGGGCAGAATTTAAAAGCATAGGCAGCTTTTAAAGAGTGTGGTAGGTTTACAAGGTAAGACCAGTTTCTGTGGTAATAAGAAATTAATTAAATGTGGTTCATGCATATAATATGTATATGTGATTCTACATTTTGACTAGTCAGTGAAAAGATTTTTGATGTGTGTAAGCAACCAGATTTGTTTGAGATAATTAAAGGCCTAGCATAACTTGAAGCAATGCATATCGCCCGCTGCCTTTCATWTCAGAATTTTAAAATAAGTTCATCTTATAAATGACAAAGCTGTAGCCATTTGGGCAAAATTTGAAAATAATGTTGAATGCAGTGGTGTATGATATCATAAGATGTCGCAGACTCAGCTACTGTTCCAACAAAGCACAATMTTTAGCACAGTGCCACATTAACCAGGTTCTAGGACCAGAATAGACGCCAAATGTGTTGGGTATAAATCTACTTATAATATTCAGCGATCATCCGTGCAGATACTAGGGGAAAGAAAGCGTTTCTACCAAAAATATGAGCAGCATGTCAGACTGAGACAGATGTTAGCAGCTGTTCTGCCAGTATTTAAAATAATTTCAAGGTTTGCAGAGGAATAAAATCCATAGCTTTTTTTAAGAACTAGTTTTTCTACTTTTTAATTTTCTTGAAGTCTTCATGGCAGCAAATCAGGCATTGCATTTTACCCAAACCTTTAAWGGAAGGAGTCTCAAACCCACCACTCATATGTGGAGGGTCCTGGATGTTCCTGGAGCCTGTGTGGTGTGAGAAATGGAGTATTTATCAGAATGCAAGAGTCCCAGAGTGAAATACTGCATGACGGTAAAAAGTCCACTGAAGTCAGGTTGTTTTCTCGACAGCTTTCGTTGGCCATCGTGTATGTTTACTCTGAGTGTGTACCTCGGTGTTTGTCTGCGGTACGAGTGTGTGAGTTTGAACGTGTCTGAGTGCGTGCGCAGCAGGGGCACAGCCACGTATGTTTGGAGCGAGTGCTGTCAGTTAGCTGGAATGTTGCACCACCGCCAATGCTAAGATGGCTGCCAAGCTCTAAGATGGCTGCCAGGATTACACCCAGCCAGTGAGACACACACACTCACAGGCAGAGGAGCGAGAGTTTGAGCAAGAGAAGCTCTCTTTCATTTGCTTTTTCTTTTCCTTCATTCTTGCTCTTGTCTGTCTCTGTCTAACCCTCTCTCTCTGTGTGTGGATAAGCGGTGCTTCGTAGGCAGCGAGACAGGTCTGTTATTGTTTCTGCTCAGTAATCTGTGGCTTAGTGTGGCTGCAAGGCAAGTGCTGCTGGCAGGAATCTGTGTGCTCTGTTATCACCTACAGCCTGCAGATAAACACCTCCTTCAGCTAGTTAGCTAGCTAGCTGCAGCCCTGCACCTCAGCAGCCCAGGACTTACAGATCAGTCTTATTTATCAACTCAGTTCTGTCTGTAAAATGAGCGAGGACATGTAATGTGAGTGAAGACTCACTCCAGACCATAATACATATCCATACGCTTAAACAAAGACACTATTCAGGTCCTTTTCTTTTTTTAAGGCCAACCTTTTTATGGAATCATAWTACAGGACTCCCTACAATCTCTCCTTCCAACTTGTTGCAGATTCTCAGTTCTTTCGTTAACAACTATTACATTTGTGCAAATGTGTGTGTGTGCAGCCTTGATTTTCTTGTGCAACCAGACATAAATTGTCAGCTTTTTCACTCGTTCCGTGTGTGCGAGTATTTGTGTTCATACAAGGATTACAACATGTATTAAAGTATGAAGCAAAAACGAGAGGAGAAACAGATTGAGAGGGAGAGGGCACATGTTTGTGTGTGTTGACGTGTGCGTGTTTGTGTGTGTATGTGTGTGTAAGGTGCTCTGTTTATGTAGACTAAATCCCTACAAGGAAGAAAGTATTAAATGGGATTAGGGAGAGTGATATGATTGCGTGGTTAGATACTAAATGCCGTAGTGAGCTCACTGTAAATCATCGCACCTTGATTGTGTATGGACAGAGGAGACAGGAAAGAACAATTTGAGATATGACTGTCTCTCACACACACACACGCACACACACACAAAAGTGTGAATTCTCACAGATATAAATTTACAAAATACATACCATACTTCAGGTTTTTTTTATTCTCTCTCACACCTCAAATATCACAATCTCGGCATCACTGACACAGTTACACTTCACTTTTACAGAATGTTTCTTTTTTAAGTTCTAAAACCTGAAAACCACATTGTAACCATTTGCTTTTGTCTTTTTTTCCTCTGTTGCCACGTAGAATCTGGACAATCGGACAGCTCTAGCCAACAGGGAGACACGGACATCAAGCCGCCCCCCAATGGTAGGTGTCGATGAGTTAATGTCCAAACACTCTCACATCAGCTCGTTAGAAATGAATCCAACAGATTCATCAGCTGAAACATATAATTATGGCTCTAATTAGCAAACACACAGATGTTGATCTGCAGACTTACAGATGGTTGCCATTTTTAAGGCAGTTAAACACAACTTTATGAATATTTAATATTCCTGTTTTTATTGATTGTTATTGTGTGTGTATAACTTCTGATCACGTGTTTTTGTTTTGCTTTCTGTGCAGGACACCTGAGTTTTCAGGACTGCTTCGTCACCTCAGGAGTGTGGAATGTGACGGAACTGGTTCGAGTTTCACAGAGTAAGATGAAAAAACGCAAACGTAAAGAAAAAAAAAAAACAATCCAGTAAATGATTTTAGAATCTTGCGTGCTTTTTGCTGGCTTTCTTTCTCACCTCTGTTCTCACACTTGTGTCCCTCTCAGCTCCTGTAGCCACAGCGTCAGGGCCTAACTTCTCATTGGCTGAACTGGACAGCAGTCCCAGCTACTACAACATTAACCAGGTGGCTTTGGGACGACGCTCCCTCACCTCCCCTCCTTCCACCAGGTAAACACTTGTGACACTTGTGTGTAGCGCTGTACATGACAGAGGCCCAGCTGTCGCCACAAGTAAAACCTTCAGGAGATTTATTCAAATGACTCTTGTTCTTCAAGCTAGAGGCACATTTAAATCACAAAACTATAACWTTTGAAGACTTTTCATGGCAGGTAAAATGCATCATCTAATTGAGGTTTTGAGTGGCCTGTTATACAGTTCTCAAAAAAAAAACTTTCATCTCCTGATTTGTAAACACAGAAGCAGCCTGTTCTTTTCAGTTTTTAACAACAAAGCACAACTCACCAGCAAAGTGTGTAGTGTGATTTATCAGTTAGTCATCAGAAGAGAAGCAGAAGCAGAGGTCTGATTTCTCTCAGACTTGGGTGATACTCGGCTGCGTTAGGTTGTAATTAAATATAATACTGTTTTAAGAGAATCCAACCTTCACAACTTTAGCTTGTTAGCAGCGGATTGACTCTTTAAGTGTTTTGAACGTTTTGGGAACAAACATCTCTGTCAGTAACCTAACACAGTAGATTCTGAGTGAAAACGACAAAGTTGCCAAAGCACAAATTTACAGTTACTTAAGCTTCATTCATGCACAAGGTGACTGTGTTCACCACTTAAGAAGCTGCTGAAAATCACATCTGTCAAAGTTAACACATTAGCATAATCTCACTTTAATCCCTTGTAGATAAAGGAATTTAATGGAATGTAGTTTTTTATTTTTGACGGTGTGTATTTAGAGAAGCAGTAAAAGGGACAGCAGGAGGAGAAATCCAAGTCTAGTCATCAGCTTTTGGTAAGAATGTATCAAAGCARCAACTCTTTAAATGTTACAAGAGTTTGGCTGAGCTCCGTTGTTGCCAAGGTCCAGGCTGGTTCAGAGAGGTTAAAGGGCCTTTGAAGCTCCAGCTGCCCCTACATATCAAACAGATTTCAATTTATGCTGTTTGTAAATCTTGTTTTAATACACATCTGTATTTGTTTGGTTTTAATTCTCTGTGAGAACTAAGAAAAACTCCAAACTTGTTTTATTGCTTTCATTATTTAAGTCACCTTTTATCAAATTGATCTTGTTTTGATTTTGTCATTTGTTATTTAGGTNTTTTTTTTTTTTTTGTAAATTTCCTTACAATTATTTGTACAGCCCTTCTGCCAAAAGGAGCTATTAATAAACTTGAACTTGAACTAATGATATGACCCAAAAGCCAACAAGTCATTTGACACTAAATTCAAACATAACTAAATAAAACTGATTCAACAGGGAGAAAAACTATTAATCAATTTTCAGTGTGTTCACCAGAGATTTCCAGCATTTTAGACTTATTTGGTTTATTAAGTTGTGTTTTGTTTTTACAACAATCATATTTAGGTCTTTATTCCAGATTTTGATTTAAAACTTATGTATCTGCATCGTTATTGATATATTAATAACTGATAAGTTTGATTTAACTTTACCAATAAGATAAAATATAGTAATAACTTACTAAATAGTGCCACGTAATTGTTTAATCTAATTTATAGTCCTGATTAAAACAATATTGTTTTGTGGGCTTTGTGATGGGGTTTTCATTAACATCAACATTTGTTCCTGTTCATTAAAAATGTCTTCTTTCACATAAGAGTCATGTAACTTTAGACTTTAATATAATCACATTCCAGACCGGTTGTTCCCTTTTCATTCAAGACAATAGACTTCACAGTTAAGTGAGGAATTTATTTGATTTATTGATTTATGCTTTGTCTTGAAAATAAAAACACTTTCAGTTTTCTGATAGCAGGTAACAATGCACTCTTCACTCATCAACCTTACCTTCCTTTGAGCTCATATTCTTTGGCCTGATCCTTATTAATGCATGTCTTTGGAAAACCCTTTACAGCTGTCTTAAAGGTGGTTATTAATGAAAGTCTTTTGTTATTATTATTTCTGGCGGCCCCAGGTTGTCCTAGATTTCCTCCAGCAAATGAAGAMTAACCGGTACACCCTGATAACATCTTTTGCTGGCATTTCAAACAAACCTTTCTTCAAATGACTCCTCCACACAGCAGTTGTCAGAGGCAAAATGTAATATATGCTTTTTCCCGACAGGAAGTAGTGGTGCAATCAGCACTGAAATGTCTATAGCAAAACTATGGCCCCATTCATCTAACTACTCCCCAAATTTTATTCTTTGGAAAGGGAAACTCCTACAAATGCATGCAAAACAGGGTCAGCCAGAGACATAACTATCCAGGCCTTTCAGACAATAACTTTACACTGTGCTGCTTTAGTGATGCAGATGGGAGTTGTTGTTTTTTTATGTTGTTTGCACAAGCTGTTAGTGACTCTAAACCACTAGGATCTTTTCAGTCTTGAAACTTCTTTATGTGTTCGTACGTGTGTGTGAAGTAGCTGATTTCCTCTTTATAAATGTGTGATGGCTTTCTCAGCTTTTTTCTTCTTTTGTGTCTTTCCCTTTCTGTCTTTTTACCTCTCTATCTGCTGTCACTTTAGGTCTGAGGTGGAGTTGTACGCAAATCTTCCACGGAGGTAGTTATAAACATCCAAAAGATTCAAATTTATGACACACATGCGTAGAAATCCACAAACACACAGATTTTCTGTTTTTCTCTAATTTTCTCCTCTTCTTTTTTATTCCTGTTGTTTAAAATTTAAAATGCCTCTCCCTWAAACATTGCAAAAGCAATATCATTTTTATCAAACTAGTAAAGGCTTGTGTATGTAATTACCTTTAGTCCATAGTCTGCTAAGTGCTGTATTCTTGCTGTGATCTGTTTATAAACCTAACCTATTCTCCCCTGTCTTTTTGTCCCCCCATCCCCCCACACATCCTCCTATATCCTCAGCTCCACCAAGAGGAAGTCCTTAGATGACAGTGAGCTGGAGAGCCCCACAGATGATGTTTTTTATCCTGGACGTTCGCCTGCTGCCAGCTCTTCCCAGTCCAGTGCATGGCCCAATGACATGGATGCAGGTATCAAACCCCCTCCACCTTCCCATTTTCCCCCCGATACCTTCCACTCTCTACCCACGCATGATAAAACCTTTCCACCATCTTCTTTGACCACCCAACAACAAACATCCCAACTGATCATCCACATTTTTTAGATTTGTCAACTTCCCTTCACTCTGGTGATGTACTCTTAGACCCACCCACTTACCTTTTGTTGACAGCCCATTTGGAGGCCTTAACATACTCGAAAACTCACCAAACTTCACCCAAAATTGTCCCCCGGTGAAAATCGCATGATACTATTGGAATTTTTAGTGGGCGTGGCCAAATGACTCGACAGCGCCACCTAATGTGAGATAGAGGAACTGGTAAGTCCTAGAGAGCTGAAATTCGACACATAGGTAGATCTCCCCAAATCAAGAAAAAAAGTCTCTTGGAGGTATGCCCTAAAACAAACAGAGAGTTGGCAATTTGGGGTCAAATGTCAAATTTTGGCCGATTTTCAATTTCGCTCACATCGAACTTTTGCAAACTCCTCCTAGGGATTTTGACCTATCGGCTTCAAACTCGGTACTCTTAGACCCACCCACTCACCTTTTGTTTGCACACTGACCATCCAACTTAAATCAACCATTTGTTCTTAAATTAACTAATAAGACAAAACTTTATTGACTTGGTCTTATTGGTAACATTCTCCAACATATATACAAGCGTGGAGAACTGAAATAAAATGTTTTAGATTACGTTTGTTTGTTTTTTATTTTATTTTTTTTTTTCAGTTTATGACAGAAACCAATCAGAAGTTTTGAAATGCATCAACAAATTACAAGCTTGTCTTTTGGTAGAAACTTAACCACAAAATGATCCTAATGGCCACAGAAAATAAATGTGTAACAAAGAAGCTCTGAATAGCCAATTTCAGATTTGATAACTGTAATAGTTTGTGCTGTTGGCATAATATATTAGTCAGAGTCTCCCTCCCCTGTAACCTTATCTCACCCGTCGCCCAACCAGTAATTCTAGTAATCACCCACCTCATCCCGATTCACTCATAGGATTCACATTTCCTCACCTTGAAGCCACCATCATGCAACAAGTTAATCCGATRTTGTGCATCTGATCAGTCATTCACTACACAAACTCTCCCTTTCCCTCCTATTCTCTCTTTCTCTTATCTCTCTCATTGTTAACAATACCCTTCTTCACTTTCAGTGCAGCACCATTTGGCGAGTGTGCAGGAGAGGAAGATAAAACATGAAAACGATGGCGTGCAGTTTCCTTACCATGGTTAGAACAACATTGATTACACTCACATCTATTTACTATCTATTAGCCATTATGAAACACAAGCATTAGTATGTGTGTATGTATGTGTGTGTGTGTGTCTCTTTATACAGTAGATATATGTACATATGTATTTCAGATATGCATATTGTGTGTTTGAATTTCAGTTTTTCTGAAACAGATTCTTTTGATTTATGATCACTGATAATTTCCTTTGATATTCAAAGTTAGGGGTGTCAAGCTCTATTCTGTATAAATGTCCGTCCTTTTTAATGATTTTTCCACATCACCTGGCTCACACTGACTTGACACGTACGCTGACACAGGCGTGTTTGTTTGCTGCACCCCCTCAGGCTCTCACATGCACACACTTGTACACTGGCTTACTGATATCCATAGAGCCCACACTCGTGCCTTGCACATATGTAAATAAGCACGCAGAGATTCACAGCTTCCCCACCCTCTTTCTCCCCAGTCACACATTGCAACACAAGGCCTTATCATGCGTCCCACCCCTGCAGGTGTTCGGGTGGCCACTCTTGCCTCGCTCGCTCCCTCGCCTCCAATCTCTTTTTAAGATGTTCTCGTGGATCTGAGGTGTAAAACCCGTCCTCCTGCTCCTCAGCTCTCATCTCAGCTCCCTGCCTCCCCTCTGTCTAATTGAAAAGGTGTACAGCGGGGAGGGCCTTGCTGAGGGAGAAAACATGTCGGAGGGAGAGAAGGCGGAGCGAGAACTAGAAATGAGGCGAGCGAGTGAGAAAAGTGAGGGATGCAAGGGGGGATAGTCGGGAGAGGAGACGACTTTGGTGTTCTGAGATGGTGATAGCTGATCAGAGAGAAGGGTTAATTAGAGTCTGAAGTGGGGGAGCCAAGAGTCTTGGAAAGGTTTTGCCACAGTCTATTCTCGCTCGAGTCTCAGCGGCTGTTCGTCAGCTTCTGCTCTACTTAGCTGTAAATGTAATTAAGAGGCTGATCATCAGAGCCACAACGGAGACTCCTGCACGCTGTAGGACACCAGAGCTCCACCTTCCATCACTTTTCTGCATTTCTCACAATCTGCATCACCCCATTTCTATCCAAAGAGTGCAACACCTGTTTAATGAATTTGGCTAATTGGATCATAGAGCAGCATTCTAATCTCAACCTTTCATCAAGATGAAGCAGAAGCTCAGACTTTTGAAATGGAGTTTTGTGTAACGGTTTTAAATAATAACTTTTATAAAGACCTCAGTTTGGATAATTTCATTCCCACCAGACTGATGAGCGAACTATTTTATTTCACTTTACATTGCTGTAAATTTACATTGCACTTGTATTTTTGACAATTTTTTTTCAAATAATGCTTGTTTCCAAGTGTGAATAGCAACATCCACAGCTACCTGTAGCTCTGCAGGTGCAGCCTGCGGCAGGTCCAGCAGCTACACAGGTGGGATGTATAAAAACACGCATTTAGCTTTTTATACGACCAAACCACCTAAGAGACCCCAAAAGTACACATTAGCGTCTGTCCATAATGTCCCTTACGCCCCCTGACTGCCTCCATAACCATCAGCATACATATTCAGGAACACATGCAGATGCATAAAGATGCATTATTACATATAATTCCCTTAAACAGATTCAGATTTAGACGTGATGAATTTCTGCACACACATCACACAACCCAGTGGAACACACACACACACATGCACAGCTGAAGCATTGTCCCAGATGGTGTTTCTGTGTGCGTGTAGCCTTGGGATCCATGAGGATGCTGGAGACAGCTGCTCCACAGGGGCGAAGAGAGGTGGTTGTGGTGGTGGGGGGGWGGTTAGAGGAGGCAATCGAAGCAGCCATGATTTCATATTAGTTCCAAGTGGTTGTGAAATTTTCCCGAGACACCAGAGCACCGGTGCTGGCCTTGCTTTGAGTGAAATGTAACATGCCCTTAGAGGCACACGGCTGGTTTTCCAGTGACACACATGTGACTAAACCACTAAGGAGAAAATTCCCTAAGTTTCTTTACTTATTTAAATCCCTTTCCACCTTTTTTTTTTACAACTATGTGTGTGTGTTTTCTGCGTCTGTGTGTTCTTCAGAGGCGCATCTGGTGGCAGGCCTGTTAGTGCAAAGAGACAGAAGGGTCATCAGGGGAACGCTTGATTAGTTGCCAGTGAAATATTAAGGCTTGCCAGAAGAGGAAACAGTGCAGTTTTGGCACATAAACTCAATTTCAGATCAGACCACTGCACAGTCTCTGAAGTACTGAAATGTTGTCTATAACATTTCTTGATCGTTTAACGTCTTAACTTCCCATAAATACAGATATCAGTGTTCATCTGGTTTCCTTCTGTTGTGCTCTTTTTGGCTCCTTAAAGTTTTGTTTACCTGTACTTAAAAGCACACGATTACTTTAGTGCACCCTTTATAGCCTGTAAATTTTTTGTCCTTTTTTTTTTTTTGGGCATTTTCCCTTTTGTGCCTTTCCATCTTTCAGTCCTACTGCTCCTATTTCCACCTTTCTCCCCTAAGTGTGACACTGTCATAGCAATCACTTCTAACTGCTGGTGTCAGAAGTGGGGTTTGTTTTGTTTTCATGCTTGGAATCACTCTGACAGTACAATACACCCACAGACTCCCCCTGAAGTCGGTGAGGAGGGATGTGGAGTATGTGTATATATATATATATATATATAT